TGGGGAAAACAGATACGGAAGGAAGAAAGTATTGGAAAAGAAAGCTGTCATTAGTACCCTCAGAGGTAAACATTGCATTAACACACTGCATCAACATGATGCCACTTAAAAAAAAATTTTTTTCAGAGAACTAAAAATCAGGTCTTAAAATTTAAAATAACATAGCAGAAGCAAAAAACACTGGCAGACCCTGAGAGATAAAGTTGATGAAGTTTCTTTAAGAAGTGGAGTAAAACACATGGTGAAAGAAGACAAAAGTTAACTGAGAGGCCCATTATCCAAAAAACTTAGATTCAGACAGAGAATCTAGTTTTGAAAGGAGATGTTATGAACTGAATGTTGTGTCCCACCCCAAATTCATGGTGAAATCCTAGCCTCCAGATTAATGGTTATTAAAAGGCCTTTGGAAGTGATCAGGTCCTGAGGCCTTCATGAATGGGATTAGTGCCCTTATAAAAGGGACCCCAGAGAGTGTTCCCGACCTCTTCCTGCCATGTGAGATCACAGCAGCATGTGGAAGTCAGAAGCAGGGCTCTCAGTAGACACCCAATCTGCCGGTGCTTTGATTTTGGACCTCCAGCTTCCAGAACAGTGAAAACTATTCGTTGTTTAAGCTACCCAGTTCATGGTATTTTATTAAAGCAGCCTGAGCAGACCAAGATGGGTAGAGGACAAAATAAACATTGAGAAACTTTCCCAGAAAGGAAGAGTATGCCCTGAGGATGAAAATAACCCTTTACAAATGCACAGCATTGTGACATTTTACAATATGGAAACAAGAAGTTCCTGTAAGCTTCCAGGGTGTGGCAGGAGCAGAGGAGAGCATTTCTTAGAAAGGAATAAGAATCAGAATAAGACTAGATTTCTCAGTAACACTGAGAGAAGGACAAGGGGTGATGTCTTCAAAAGTTTTAAGGGAAAATAATTTCCCAGCACAGGATTTTAGGTCTAGCCAAACTACTAGTTAAGTGAAGGGACAAAATTAAGTTATTTTCAAATGCACAAAGTCTCTCTTACCTCCTCTGAATGTTTTTAAGAAGCTTCTGAAAAATGCTCCCCACCAAACCAGGGTAACCAAGAAAGAAAGGTGGGATTCTCCAAATGATGGTGAAAAAAGATCCTAAATTAGAACAACAGCTTGCACCTGACTTGGAGCATGAATAGACCACACTGGAGCCAGTCAGAGACTATGGGAATTGACAGACAACCTGTGCATTTGAACATACTGAGAGAAAAGAGATTGACATACATGAGGGAAGAGTTGAGAAGAGCCAGATGACAAAATAATCATTGTACTTAAGACCTGAAAGGTAAGGTTCTCACAGGTGCTTATATAATTGTTAAGAAGAAAAAAAGACTATGGGAATTGACAGACAACCTGTGCATTTGAACATACTGAGAGAAAAGAGATTGACATACATGAGGGAAGAGTTGAGAAGAGCCAGATGACAAAATAATCATTGTACTTAAGACCTGAAAGGTAAGGTTCTCACAGGTGCTTATATAATTGTTAAGAAGAAAAAAATAGACATGAGCGGGTTGGAGAGAGAATAAAGCCAGTAAAGACCACTAAAAGGGACTCACTCCCAGAGTTAATCAGAAAAGACAGAGTTAATTAGTTAATTAGTTAATGAGTTAATTGAAGTTCCAAAGGCCACAAGCAACTTGGAATGTCAGGGTATTCCCCAGATAAAGAAAAGTATCTGAGACAGCCCATGTCTTCATTGTACCAATTAGATCATGCCCCACTGTAAAGTCTACTTAGCCTGCAAAAAGGCCCAGCTTATTCTTTAACTTAACCTATATGCTGTTTTTTCCTTTTCTTCCAGCCCCTTAATCAAGTAACTTTGTCACCAAGGCAGAAGGCACACCTTGGAAGTGTAAATGAACCTGTGCAGATAAAGAATGCTGGGATCCGGACCATCACAGTCACCTGAGTGACCCTGTTCTCAAGGCAGAACTTCAAGGGAATTATGAATCACCTGTACACATCCTGCCTTATGCTGACCCTTACCCACAAAGCTCTGTAAAACCCCAGACCATAAATCCTTAAGCACGCCTCCTCTATGAAGTTGTCTGCACTACCCTTTCTTTGGGTGTGTCACTCTCTCTGTTCTACTCCAGATAAGTAAGGAGGGGCTACTGAGAGCTCTGATTTGGGCTTGCAAGTTCCTGTCGCCTGAATGACTCCAGTGCAACTGCATCTGTATGATCACGCTCTTCAGTAGCCTGCCTGAAAGTCTCCTTTGCCTTTGGGAAGTTCTCAGAACATAATCTCACCCCATCCAGTGCTCTGCAGCTCCCCACAATCCTAGGGTGGTAGGGGCTTAGTTCCCATGCTGTGCAGATCCAAGCAGACACTGGACACCAGGTGACCCTGGCTTTAGGAGTTGGCAAGGGATCTGCCCTATGCCGAGCAGGAGTTCAATGAGCTTCCCTTTGCTCCCTGTCTTTTTCCTTTGTCTCTGCTTTAATTCAGGGAAACCTGCCTTTGTCTACCTTCACTCTGTCCCACTTCTCCCTTGGAGTGTATTCACATAAACTCTGCTTCACTACTGTGTCTCTGCCCTTCAATTCTTTTTTGCAGCAGGGACAAGAACTGAGAAAAATCAACCCCCAACATAATTATAATGCCAATGTGATTATAGTGGGAGAATGGAAAAACAGGATGTGTGCAACAGAGTATATGTAAGTGTGGTGCAGGGAGAAGATTAAATACAACAGAGTCTTCTACATTAGGGCATTAATAAATAGTGGTTAAAACTAAAAAACTAAAAATAAAAGAATAGCAATGTAAAAGACTATCTATGAAGAGCAGTATGATATCAAGATCAAATTTCCCATGCGATCTTATGGATATATTGTGCTTAAGTGACAGGATGTAGGCAACTAACTCAAACCACAGAGAGAGAAAAGCAAGTGTGAATCTAGGTAAAAGTGTCTGGGTGATCATTATACTCTAACTTTCTGAAGATTTCAATTTTTCAAAATAAAAGCTGGGAGATGAGTGGTAGTATAATTGCATTATGTAGAAGTAGATAGCTATGCTTACCAATTAGCTTAGAAATTTTTAAGTCATTGCTCATGCAAATGGGAAAGTAGCATGTTGGAAGGGTGGGGAGGAGGGAACAATGATGTTTTCATAATTAGCTTTGAATGGAGATTTGACTGTTGAACTTTGACATGTGTATCTTTAAAAATAAAAACTAAATTTTGAAAATCAGTACATGTTAGGTGGAAATGGGAAATCAGTAAAACCAAAACTTTAAAAAAATCAACCTTTGTACATACAAACAGTGTGTGGGGAATGTAACAGAAAAATTATTACCCACAACAAAAAAGGAACAAAATATTTAGGAATGCCTTAGCATGAAATGTGCAAGAGTTATATGAAGACTAGTCCTTTACTGAGGGGCATAAAGGAATTCTTAAATAGAAGGACACATCTTATTCCTGGGTAGAATGACTTAAAATTGTAGAAGTGTCAGTTGTCCCTAAAGTAAACTCAATGCAATCTCAATAAAAATCCCAACAAAATGATTTTATGGCTCATTTGTGAGAGTACTATAAAAATACACGAAATAAAATTGCTTAATAAATTATAAAGTATATTAAAAAGATAAAGAAATTAAAACAGTGTGGAATAGGCACCGTTAACAAAAGGTCAACAGAACCAGTTTAAAAAGTCAGCCCCAATATGTAATAAATAGCATGTGATGAAGATGTCCCTTTATCACATATTCAACCATGTGTATATGTTTGGATGAGAGAGGAGAAATGGACTCATCAAGCAATTGGCTAGCCATTACATAAATTCCCCACCCTCTAAAAAAAGGATCTATTTAATGGACCCCTACCTCATTTTCTTGCATGCATATATTTTCAAGCTACATTAAAGGTTTAATGTGAAAAATAGAATTATAAAATCCATTAAAAAACCATGTCTGAACCTTGAAATCTCTCCAGTTGCCATGCCAGAGCCATGAGTATCATCCTTGACTTTAGCATCTCCCTCACCACTCCACGTTTTACTAATTGTGTTCTGTTTCTTCTACATCTTGAATATCTCTTGAACCTCTCTCCAGTCTGTCTCCACCATCGCGTAGGCCTCTAACATGTCTTCCTTGGGTTGGTGCAGTAAGATCCCAATGTACCCGACTTTTAACATATACTGAATCCAATCCATTCTTCATGGAGTTATGTTTCTAAAACCCAGGCATGATCTTTTCAGTCCCATGTTCCATGCCCTTGCATGACTCCGCAGCACTCCAGTTCCTTGTCTGGGACTGTGAGGCACTTCATGATGTGGCTCTTTCTCTTGCATCATCCTTCCTGCTATCTCTGTATCATTCCCAAAATAGTGAACTTCTTTTTCTAGAATTTGCCAGCCTTTTCACCACAGACCTTCACAACACACCATTCTACCCAGTGTTGTTCTCTGCTCTTGCACCTCTCATTCTTCAGGTCTGGGAGCCTTCCCGGTCTCCCTGATACCATGAACTTCTCTAATGAAAGCATTTGGTTTTAATGACCATCCCCCCACAGGAAATAATTTTTGTGAGTGCAGAGGTCATGCCTGTCTTGTTCATCTTTAGATCCCCCAGAACTTAGCATTGTACTTAGGACATAATAGGCACTCAGTAAGTATTTGGAGAATGAATTAAACTGTACTTGTATAAATCAGTTTCACATGACTAAAAAAAAAAAGCCCAAATTCACATGGTACAAAGTTGGTGGTAACAACTGTCTTTACCAGCTGATATTAATAAAGCCATGGGCTGTGTCTGACTTAGTGCTATGTGGACTTGTTTCTAAAATTACGAATTTCTGCTCCAGGCCAGTCTCCTATGATTTCTAGATAGTTGAGTTTCATCAGTGCCAACTTCTCAGAATCTGACCCACTGGTCTGGGGCTGGGGCTAGATTTCTCAAATGAGGGAAAATCCCACCTATTATCTTGCTTCCTGTTTCTAGGTCCTGTTGAAGTTGCTTCAGACTCATCTTGCACCCTGTCCTCAAGTTTGTTCGGAGGAAATGGAATCTTGAAAAATAAGTTCTGAAGATATTTTCCTTTGTGTTCTGTGTAAGTACCAGTTTATACTCTCAAGGTTGTGTGGCTGAAGAAAATCTGGCTGTCTATACAAGCGGGCGGGGTTTTAGGTCAAGTGAGTTGTCAGCTGGATGAGGGCGAGGACGAGCGGGCTGTTCGCCGCCTGCCCTGGGCACTCAGGACCTGGTGGGGGGGCCCGGGCGGCAGGTCTCCCCCATCTCAGCTCTACAAGGAGGCTGGGGGTCTTTCAGTTCCTTTGGTCTAGTGTTGTGTTGCTTCAACTAAAAATAAATTAAAAATCCTTTTGGTTTAATACACTTTAAAGAGCCACGAGGTAGCAAAGCTAACACTGAATAGGAAGGAAATATTTGAAGCCCCTCAGCATCTGTGCTCCACTTCTGGCAAAACGAAGCTTCTGGAAGGGCCTGCTTCCGCTGCTTTTCCTTCCTTCTGGGTGGTTTTTGCCCCAAAGCTTGCCAGCAGAAGAAAGGTTAATAAGGCCATCCCTCCAGCCTTATTCACGGCTTAGTCCCTCAGTAATAGGAAGTTCACTTAGCATCTTGGAGACAGGGCAGTTGCTATGGGCTAAACCGAATGAAACTTGGGTAAGCCATTTGGGGATCACTTTTCCCCTGAAACAAAAACCTCATCATAAGCAATTTTGCAGCAGCTGGGTTGGGATGGAATAATTGATCACAGTCTTGAATTTTATAAAAATATTGTCTCAATTTCAGAGACAAGATAATTATTAATTCCCACCAAGTCGGCACAATTTCGGCTCATAAATCAACTTGTAACCTCAAAAGACTGAGCTCACACTCTTCTGTCCTCTGATTTGAGCCGACTTTTTCTGCCTGTTTCCATTTGGAAACATAACCAACCTGAACAAATACACTTTTCCTTCAAATGATATTTAGAAATGGCTGTATACTACAGGATCCTTGGTAAACTTGAAATGCTTAACAATTCTTTATGCTGAATTTGTTATTTTTTCTTACATATAGGAGATGCACAGGAGTTCACTTTTTTTCCTTCACCAACCAGAACCATAAAATTACACCCTTCCCTTAGTTTCAGATAGTACACTGCTACCTATTTTCTGCTCAGCAGTGACATGGGTTTTCTTGCTCAGCATCCTTTTTTCATTTCCAAAAATGCCCTAAGCCCTTCCCTCAACTGAGTGTGATTTTGGTGGGAGATATCCTAGTGACCTCTCAGTCTGTGGAAGCTAAAGGGACAGAGCTGTGTTGTCTAACACAGTAGCCACTGGCCACATGTGTTTACTGAGCACTTGAAACGTAACTGAGGAAATGAAATTTTTTATTTAATTTAATTAACTTATTTAAGTACTTTTAATGGAGGTAAAATTGACTCATAATGTTATATTAGTTTCAGGTGTTCAACATAGTGACTCGATGTTGTGAAATGGTCACCACAATAAGTGTAGTTACCATCTGTCACAGATACCATATCATTGACTACCCCATGCTGTATGTTACATCCCCAGAATTTACTTATTTATAACTGGGAGTTTGTACTTCTCAATCCCCTTCACCCATTCTGTCCCCACCCACAAACCCCTCCTTTCTCGCAACCACCAGATATAGGTGTTCTCTATATCTTTATGTCTGGGTTTTGTTGCATTTGGCTTTTAGATTCCAAATATAAGTAAAATCATGTGGTATTTCTCTTTCTCTGACTTATTTCATGTAGCTGAATACCCTCAAAGTTCATCCATATTGTCACAAATGTCAAGGTTTCTTCATTTTTATGGCTAATATTGTGTGTATGTGTGTACACACACACACACACACACCATATCTTCTTTATCCATTCATCCATCAATGGACTTTCTGGTTGTTTCCTTATCTTGGCTATTATGAATAATGCTACAGTGAACATAGGGTTATATATATATATATATAAGCAGTGAACATAGGGATATATATATATATTCAAATTAGTACTTTTGTTTTCTTTAGGTAGATGCCCATTAGTAAATGCTGGATCATATGATAGCTCTATTTTTTATTTTTATGAGGAACCTCCATACTGTTTTCCATAGTTGCTGCACCAATTGACATTCCCACCAGCAGTGTAAAAGGGTTCCCTTTATTCCACATCTTTGCCAACACTTATTATTTCTTGTCGTTTTGATGATCGTCATTCTGACAGGTGTAAGGTGATATCTCATTTGGTTTTAATTTGCATTTCCCTGATGATTATTGATGGGGAGCATCTGTTCTTGTGATTGTTGGCTATCAGTATACCTTTAGAAAAATGTGTATTCAGGTCTTCAGTCCCTTTTTAAATTGGATTATTTGTTTTTTTTATTATTGAGTTCTATGAGTTCTTACATATTTTGGATATTAATGCCTTATCAGATATATGCTTTGCAAATAACTTCTCCCATTCAGAGGGCTGCCTTTTCATTTTATTGATGATTTCATTTGTTGTGCAAAAATTTAGTTTGCTGTAGTCCCATTTGTTTATTTTTTCTTTCGTTGCCCTTGCCTTTGGAATCAGAAAAAAAAATCAGAGATCAATGTCAGGGAGCTTACTGCCCATGTTTTCTTCTCAGAGTTCTGTGGTTTCAGTCATTACATCCAAGTGTTTAATCCATTTTGAGTCTATCGTTGTATATGGTCTAAGAAAGTGGTCCAGTTTCACGCTTTGGCATGTGGCTGTCCAGCTTTCCCAACATCATATATTGAAGAGACTGTCCTTTCCCTATTGTATATTCTTGGCTCCTTTGTCATAAATTAATTGACCATATGTATGTGAGTTTGTTCCTGGGCTCTCTGTTTTGTTCTAGTGATCTGTGTGTTTTTATGCCAATGCCATAGTTTTGACTACTCTAGCTTTATAGTAGAGCTGGAAACCAAGCAGTGAGCTACCTCCAGGAGTGTGGTTCTTTCTCAAAATTGCTTGGCTATTTGGGATCTTTTGTGGTTCCCCACAAATTTTAGGATTATTCTATTTCTGTGAAAATTGCCATTGGTATTTTTATAGGAACTGCACTGAATTTGTGGATGGCTTTGGATAGTAGGGACATTGTAACAATATTAATTCTTCTCCATGAGCGTGGTATCTATTTCCATTTATTTGTAACTGTTCAATTTCCTTCATCAATGCCTTATAGTTTTCAGTGTATAGTGTATATATACCTATATATAAATATATTTATCTATGTATATCAAGAACCAGCTCTTAGTTTCATTCATCTTTTCTATTATCTTTTTTAGTCTCTATTTCATATATTTCCATTCTTATCTATATTACTTCCTTTCTTCTACTATCTTTGGGCTTCATTTGCTCTTCTTTTTCTCGTTCCTTTAGGTCTAAAGTTAAATTGAGATTTCTCATTTCCTGAAGTAGGCCTGACTGTGATAAAATTCCCTCTTAGAACTGCTTTTCTTAATCCCATAGATTTTGATATGTCATATTTCTGTTTTTATTTACCTCTAGGTATTTTTTTATTTCTCCTTTGCTTGCTTTTATGATCTAGTTTATTTGGTAACATGTTTAGTTTGTCATGTATTTGTAGCTTTTTTTTCTTCTTCTAATTGATTTCTAGTTTAATACCATTGTCACTGGAAAAAATGCTTGATATGATTTCAGTATTCTTGTATTTATTGAGACTTGTTCTGTGGTTTAATGTGACCTGGAGAATGTTCCATGTGCATTTGGGAAGAATTTGTGTCCCTTTGCTTTTGGATGGAATGTTCCATGTATATCTATTAAGTCTGTCATGTCTAATGTGTTGTTTAAGGCCAATGTTTCCTTATTAATTTTTTGTCTGGATGATCTATATATTGAGGTAAGTGGGGTGTTTAAATCTTCTACTATTATTATATTACTGTCAATTTCTCCCTATAGGTCTGCTAATATTTGCTTTATGTATTTTGGTGCTCCTATGTTGGATGCATATAAATTTGTAAATGTTGTATCTTCTTGCTGATTGACCTTTTAATCACTACGTAGTGCCCCTTTTGTCTTTCATTACAGTCTTTGTTTCAAAGTCTTTTTGTCTGATATAAGCATAACTACAGCTTTCTTTTATTTTCTATTTACATGAAACATCTTTTTCCATACCTTCACTTTCAGTTTGTGTGTTTCCCTACTTCTGAAGCGAGTCTCATGTAGGCAGTGTATAGATGCGTCTTGTTTTTTAAGTCCATTCAGACATTTTCTTTGGATGGTAGAATTCAGTCCATTTACATTTGAAGCAATTATTAAGTATGTACTCATTGCCATCGTGTTAATTTTTTTTTTTTTTGTATTTTCTCTCTGTTCCTTCTTCTCTTTCTGTTTCCCTTGTGGTTTGATGACTTTCTTTAGTGTTATGCTTAGATTCCTGTAACTCCAGGGGGAAATCTTTCTCCCAGTCCAGGGCAAATTACTTTTGAAACTGAAATCAGTCAAAGGGAGAGATAAAGTAGAAGAAACCCATTTATTGCTTAAAGCAATCATCCATTTCTGCTTGCCCATGTCTCTCACCACCAGGCTGCAAAAAGGGACCCCACCAAACCTCTCCGGTGGGTCCCCTGGCTGGCCCCTGTAATTAGTTATTGATACATAGATGGACTACTTCTCTCCACCCCTTGGAAAAACCTATTGATATGGAGATGCACTAAGGCCAGGTGAGAGATTCTGGAAATACTGCAATTTTACCCACAGCCCACCCCTCCAGAAATTTCACCTCACAATCTACTCACTCCTCATCTTCCATAATAGCCCCTGTGCAAGAAAACTGGAGCACTGCAACCGGGCTAATGACATGCAATAGCAACAGCAATAAAATCATGACAATCCTCAAGCCGGAGGATTCAGCTAGGTTCAAAGTCTTATGCTGATTCACACATTCCACAGACACCAGTAGCAGAGCAGGTAGGGAGTTCAGAGCAATCATCGTCACACGGCAGCTGCAGCAGGGGGTGGGTCCAGGCCACAGGAACTGCAGAGAAAATAACCTTAAGGATGATAAGATACATGTTTTAATGACACCAGCATAGGCAAATCTTGTCCATCAG